TCCCCAAAACCCCAAAACCCCAAAACCCCTGTCTTTTTAAATTTAAATAATAATGGAAGAGCCAAACGACACAGAGCATAAAGTGAATAATATGGAAAGCAGCCAAATTCATGATCTGAAACAACCCCTTGAGATCAATTATATGACAAAGCATAGGATGATTAGAGCAGGGCAAAGAAAGCTCCCTCCTTTGAAAAGCAAGGATAATATCTACAGAGAGAAAATCAATTCAAGGTAATATTCATGCTATTATTACTCAAGCTTTATAGTTAAGCTTTCTTTCTTCACAGAAAGTATATTGGTCATGTGCACTTTTTTGAGTTTACCAAGTCATTTCCTTAAAAAATTTACTTAGTCTACATTTGTCAAAAATAAATTATGATAAAATCATTCCAAAGCAGACTAAAGGTAATTTTCCTTGTTTAATTATAGAATATGAGAACTCATACTCTACAGTACCTCTCTTCTAACCTCTTAGAATCCTCGAGATCAGAAGGTAACCAAGAGTACTGACTTACCTTTTACCTTGCAAAGAGTAAAATCTATATAACACCTAGTTTTCCAAATCAAAAACAAGGAGAACGCAATTATATAACTCAACTACAAATGGTGCCAAATTTATAAACTTATCTAAATCCCAAAAATCAAAATAAACGGTATAAAAGACAATCCTACACTCTTTTTGAGGACTCTAAGGAATATAAGCATCCCACAAATGAGCTTCCCCTCCTAAAAAAGAACCTCAAGAACCCAAACACGTCCTACCTCCCTTCTTCATACACTGTGGGGGTCGGCAAGGACACCACATTCGAGACACACAAAAAAGCCCTCCCCTCACCCCCTCCAAAGCCTCTCTCCCAAAGTACTTTCTCCATAACCCGCACAGACCTCTCCCAGCCAGCTCACCTAAGCTCCATTTCCAAATTCCACCCTCCACAGCTATCCTCTGCTCCTAAGTAAGCTGTCCATTAAAATTTCCACTACTCTATCGGTTAAAATCCCCATTTTTTCACCTTCTTAGAAGAAAATTTAGAATTTGTGCTAAGAAATTGGTAAAATTTGTATAGAACACAGGACCAATTTCGGAAATTAGTAGCACATTTGGAAATTCAAGGAAGAACTAGAGAGGTAAGCATGCAGGGTGGGGAAAGTGAAGTTTTATATAGAAGGATTTTGGAAAAGATGCTACAGAGAAGAGGTAAGGCAAAGACTGATGGAAATAGAGTGAAAGAGGTTTTTAGGGTTAGAGTAGCGAGACAGTCATTGTTTTGTTGATGAAGGTCACCAGCGGTTGATGAGTCGAGTAAGATTTGTGATGTTTTTTGGGTTTTGGAAGAGTTTTAAGTTAAATTTTAGTGATAAAACAAGCAGAAGGTATGCTATTTTGGTTAATTTATAGGAGATAAGGTATGCTGTCTTTTAGATATTTTCAAAGCTGTAGTGATAAAATTGAGAATTTATCCAGTCTTATGTGTCTAAATTATAGAAGAATATTTTATGAATTGCAAAAGTACCTTACACTGGGCATGAAGAGAATGGAGATCAGGTACATCTTTAAGTAGACTCTGAAACAAGATTAAACTGCCTTAAAATTGCAGCTTTATCCATTTTCTAACTATCATTAGTCAGGAATCTTAAGTTGAATTAAAAGATATGATTAATACTCGTAAATTTTAAGAGTATAAATTTAGATTTAAGTATTTTTGACAAAAACGATAACTTCCAGTATTACTTAATAATTTACAGAAAATTTCAGTTATACCCGCGATATCTTATATTTTGTTTTCTAGATTCATCTTCAAGCTCTCCAGTACTGCTACAGCCATCTTTTAGGAACAGAGGTATTTCCACCTTAAATTCCATAGAATCAACAAACTGAATATAATTGGATTAACATTGGGTTTCAGAATGAGAACGATCCACAAAAAGATTTCAGAGGAGTTGGAGTTCTTGGGCTTCTCCATATTGTGTATCTACTACAAGTATTTGTCACCTGACGATTATAGTATCATCAAGAAGATATTTGTAATATATTTCATCAATCAAAAGAAGGTACCTTCCTCAAAAGATATCCTTTCTTTTGTGCCAGCTTGGCACTGTCAAAAATAGTCCTTGATAGAGTACGAGATAGGACCTGCGAGAAGAGGTTTAAGCCTGGGAGAACCTTTATGACTATTACTTGTGAACTCCACCTTCAGCTTTTCCAAAAGCTCTCTCAAATATGGTAACTATAAGCTATAATTCTAGGAAAACTAAGAATTACACGATCAAAGACTTTCAAAAAGTGATGCAAGAAGTGGCTAAGTTCTCGAAAAAGGCTAAATAATTCAATGAGTTCGTACCTATCTGGGGTTTTGGGGTTTTGGGGTTTTGGGGG